AATTCAATCTGGAATCAGAAAGCTGTGGATTCTGGCAAATGGTCCTTGTGTCCTTCCCCTACTTATTCCTGGTCTGGTCCCCTGTTCTCCATAGCCCTTTACCCTTTACCCCTACAGACTGGGGACCAGCCCCCTCCCCTGTTTCTCTCCCCAAACCCCCTTAGATGGGGAGGGAAGAGGAGGAGAGGGGAGGGGACCTGTCCCCTCCTCAGGCATCCAGGAGGGCCCTGCCCCCATGGGCTTCACCTTTTCCTGTGGGCTCTCTCCCCGACAAATTTGTTAAAATCAAACCTGAATAAAACTACAAGTTTAATATGAAGCCCTTAACTCAAATGGTTATTTGCTAAGTGGAAGGTGGATTTGGAAGCCAGAAATAGACTGAACTTTGCCTCTGAGGACTATCTCTGACTTGCTGACCTGTCAGCCATCCCCCCCACCCTCCAAACACCCTTGGCCTACCAAACACCCTTGGCCTATTCCAAACAATTAGGTGGGAGGCAACACAAACAGCAGCAACCAAGGGCAGTGGCAGGTAGATTTTATTCACCTGGGACACATGGGGCACCATCACCCATAGGAGGGTAGGGATTTTGATGTTGAAGATACACTCTGATGGTCACTTGTGGTAGAATCTTGGGTTCTGGCTATGTTGGATGAAGGGGAGCCGAGGACCAGGTTGGCTGGTGGCTGCAAAGCCCGACTGGTGGTGATGACAAAAGAAGGGCTTTGTCAGCAGACATACTCCCTTCCCCTTAATACCCTTACTGATAGCCATCCCCTAAAAGGAAGGAAATACTGGATGATATGGGCCACCTCTCCTACCTATCCCGTTTTCTGGTAGCATGGAGATTCTCACAACTGATAACTATCCTTACCTTTCCTGCTGCTTGCATCTGCACAGGGAGCTGAGGGGAGGCAAGAAGTCCTGGGGCTGGATGTAGAGCCTGTGGGTGCATAGGGCGCAGGGAAGACTGCAGAGAACAAGAGTCAGGGCCTAAGGTGTACTATGGCCCCCTTGAGTATAGCCCTAACCATCACCTCCCAAGGTTCCCTACTCACTGAGTCAGAAAAGCCAGTCTGCTGGTTAGCGTGCTCCATCTGCTTTTGCAAGGACAAGGCACCACCAGGCTGGAGGAAGCCTAGGTGGGAAAGAAAGGTATGTGACATGAGCAGAGAGTGACATACAGAGAACCCATGGAGCTAGGGCTCCTGCACGGAGTGTTGTCACCTGTCTGGGTGGGCTGAAAGTGGCCGTGCACGGCATAGGGCTGTGGCTGTGGCTGAGATAGGTACTGCACTGCAGGAAACGCTGAAGGCGCTGAGAAAGGCAGGAGGCACAGGCATTAATTAGGACCTCCTTTTGCTCTATAACATTTTCTCTGGGCTTTGAGGAACCCCACCCCCCTTCATTCCGTCACTCACCTCTGAGCTGCTGACTAGGACTATAGGCTGGTTGTGTGGGCCCATAGTGGGGTGGGGGCTGAGCAGTCCCATATGCACCACCTGGGCTGCCTTGGAATTGCCCATGCTCTGGGGTCCCTGTGAAAGCAGCTGCTGAGCCCACGTAGTGCCGGGTCTAAGCAAGGGAGAATGAGAACTCTGTCTCAAAACTCCTGAGAACAGAAACTCAGTAACTTGTGTACATCTCTATATGTCCCATTTTCCCCTGTATGAGAGTGTTTTAATATGTTTGTGGTTTGAATACTGGTGGCAAAGATGCCCAAGTGGAAGTAGGGAAATGCAACTGGGGTTAGACATGCAATCCTACTTTTCTCACCGTAAGCACTTGGGGTCCAAACATCTGTTTAGTTCTGTCAGCTGCCATAAGGGTGCCTGGGCGATTGTGTCCTCCAGGGCTCCCTAAAAAGGGAGAGGGGCTTCAAGATGCTGAAAACGGAGGCTGCAACCTCCAGAAAGGCATATTCTGTCAGGTGGTTCTTCACTCCTCACCCTGCATACTGAGGAGATGAGTTCCCGTATGAACAGTCAAGCTCTGCTGGTATGCAGCTGATGTCAGAGTGGTTAGGTCGCTGGAGTGAAAGCAAAGAAGGTCAGAGTCAAAAGACAGGTCCTCTCTCTTGCTGTTAAACTGCAATTCTTTTTTGTTACTTGATCCCAATTCCACTTTCCCCCCATTTGAATCTTTAGTTCTCTGCTCCCACCTCTGCTCTTTTCGCCTCCGTTTTTCTTCCTCATGTAAAACTTTCTTAAGCTGCAGGAACAACTGGTGCTTCTCTTCCTGTAAGGCCAAAAGCTTCTCCTGCAATTTCAGGATCTGGAAGGTGGGAAAGGGAAGGTAAGAGAACACAAAGGCAAGGAGAGCCAAGGAAGAAGTCAGAACTGGGAGAGATCAAGGGATTGCTTACTTGTTCCTTGGTCTCCTCTAGTGACATTCTCTCTTCCATCTCCTTTTTTTTCCTTCTTTCTTGTTCTTCCTTCATTTTTTGTTCCATCATCTTGTCCACCTCTTCTTCCTCTAGAGAATTCAGTAAGAATGACAAAGTGGTGGTTAAAATTATTCAAATGTTAACAGACCAAAGACTATCCAAAGCCCCTTATCCCAGCATGCCTGTACACTCCTCGAGAGGATAGGCTTCCCCATCACTGCAAAAAGGAAGGGGGTGCGGGAGAGAGACTTTTTATTATCAGGTGCTCTCCAAGGTCCTTCCCAGATCAAGGATTCTAGGGTTCTGGAGCTCTGGAGCTTGGACCAAGCCTCTTAACTACCACCACGGGCTGTTAATTCCCTCCCCTAGCCTCGACTGCGGGTGCACAGGTCTGCCCGTGGGGGGCCAGCCCTGGGATAGCCGAGCCACTCTGGGCCGAGAGTTCCCTAGCTTTGGGCCCAGCTCACCCTGGCGCTTGCGCTCGCGTTCCATCATGATGTGCCGGTGCAGCGCCCTAGCCATGGCGTTGGAAAGCTTCGGGCGTTCCAGCAGCGCGGGCATGGTGGTGCCGGGGACGCTCGGGCCGTGGACGCCCGGCTCTGTCACTGACTGCCAGACCTCAGACCGGGCCTGCGGGCCTCCGGGCGCACAGCTGGGGGCGGGGTGGGGGGAGACGGCCCTCAGCGGACGGGCACCGCGCCCGGCCGAGGCGGAAGCCTGTCCGCGCGGCCCGCTCGCCGCTCCCAGTCACGTGTTCCTGGTGCCCGCCGCCCGCCCAGGCCTCAGCCCCCGCTCCACTGCGCGCGCGGGCGGCGCCAGGGTCCCCAGGTCCGCGCCCCCGCCTCCTTCCCCGCCGGCCTCAACGCTCGCCCCTCCCTACCCACCTCTGCGCTTTCTTCGCGGCCCTCGGACGCGCCCGGGCCCCTACGTCACATCCGGCGGCCAGAACAACTTCCGGAGTGGGGGCGGCAGTGACTGCCTCGTGGGTTGCGTGAGAGGGAAGGGCGGAAGCGCGCTGGGACAGGAGCCTGCGGCGCCCAAACTCCGTGGCAGGGGAGGTCTGTTGTGCGGTCAGCCTTCTAACTTGGCCCAGCGGCCCGAGGGACAGCGGGCTTTGGAGAGGGGCGCGCGCGAGAGAGGCCCAGGCGCAGGTTCTGAGACGGCATTTATTGGCTCCTTAGAAATCAGAGTCAGTAACAACTGTACAGAGGGCCCCTTGGTCTTTGCGCCCGCCCTTCCCCGCTCCCGCCCCAGGCCCCTGGGGAAAAGCAGCTTTATGTGGGCACAGGGAGACTCCTCTGGGATTCACAGTAACCAAAAACAAAAACGGAAATAAATTAAGTGATAAGGGAAAAGGGAGTAATAGGGAGTCATGTTTCCCAAATCAGTGCATGAAGAGGGTTACCTAGGGCCCAGAGCTGGCTTCCCCTAGTTCTCTCCCATCAGAGTGAGTGTTCTGGGCCCTGGCACATGGAGATGTGCCACTTGCCATCTAAATCTGAGCCGGCCTACGTGCTCCTGCGCATCTGCCAAAGACAGCACCTGTGCATGCCATGAGTCACTGGAATGAACTGGAGGCAGTCGTTACTCAGAGTCCGTGGGCCCAAAGCCCAACTGTGCTTGTAGTGGTGGTGTCTCACTCTTCATTCCACCCGTACCAGCAGGGCATAAAGGAGTGTGGCTCCCTTCTCCTTAGTGACCCATTCAAGTTCAGCTGGGCTGAAGTGAGGGTCAGGAGGTTCTCCAAGTACGGCAGAAGGGGGGCCAGGAGTGTAGGAGCCAGGGCGCACGCACACCTGGAATGCCACCTGAGCCTGGTGTGTCCGCTGGTATTTGGGGTCCCGGAATCTGTCAGGCAAGAAGCAGAAATGGGGGAGTGAGACCTCTGGCCCATCAACTCTTACCCTTTACTAACACTGTTCAAACCACACAGGCCTTGCTATTCCTAGGAAATACTGCCTCACCTTATAGGAACTTAGCTCCAGCTGTTCTGCTTGAAATACTCTTCCTCCCAAAGCCTGCTCAGCTACATCCTTCAGTTCCTTCTTCCAGCCTTTGTTCAGATCTCCCCTTCTTATGATGCCCACCCTGACTACCTATTTAATATGCCTGCTCCACTGTACTCCTTCACTCCAATCATTTTTCTTTGTTTGCATAGCACTTACTTTTATCACCTTTAAAAATATTAAATACTTGTCATGTATAAAAATTGTTTAAAGGGAGCAGGTATAAGTTCCACAAGAGCAGCTTTCCTTTTTTGCTCACCAAGAGAGCATATAGTACTTGTTCAATGAATGAGTTAAGAAAGGGCTGAGATAGAGACTGAACAACTGGTTAGATAGGGTAGAGGGTAAGGCAAATCACAAAGACCCCAGTGGCTGGCTGTGGGCCCCTCCCTCCCATCTTGGTCTGAGCCTCTGGAGATCTCTCCCCACCCCTCCTGTGTACTCACTGCACTTTGGAGGCCAGGGTCTCAGCCCCAGCATATTGAAGGGAGGGGGAGAGCAGCACAGGCGGGGGTTGCTCCTCCCGAGGAGGTGCACAGTTCTCACCAGGCTCCTCAAACCCTATCCCAGGCTCTCCTTTCAACGGCCGGCAGCTTAGGATGGAGGCAGTGCCTGGAAGGAGAAATAGATCAGGACAGCCATTTTATTCCTTCCAGTGACCCCCGAACCCAGTCTACCCTGCCTCTACCTGCTCCACAGTACCTGCTCCCAGCTCCCCTCGGTCTAGCACTCTCCGTACAGCTGCCACACTGCTCCCATGATATGCCATGTGCCACTTCTTGGTTAGCGTCCCTGCCTCCAGGCGGGGATTCACCCTAAGAGGTAGGCAGACAGGGCAGAGAGGACAAAGGTCACTAGCTTCCTAAGGTCATCCCCTAGATAGGAAGTTCTATCATTTCTTCCATGTACCCTCTTGGGACCCCTCCCCACAATCCCTGCTTTCACAAGGGAACAAAGATCAGTAGGACAGATGCATGACTCTATCCATATGTACCTGAGGTTAAACCTGCACCAGCCAAAGGGCAGGGCATATTCCCGGGGAGGTTCTCCTCGGCGCCTATGGGCTTCATCTCCTCGAAGCTTCCGGCAAGACTCACAGTAGCACAGGCTACGTTTCGGTGGAGGCATGAAATAATCCTCTGAGGGAGAGTGAATAGCAGGCTTGGTGCTATGACTCCCACCCTGGGTCTCAAGCCTCCAACTGGTCTCCAGGACTCTAAGCATAGCCCTGCCCTGGCCCTGGGAATGAGGTGGGTTCTAGAGGAGTGGGACTCACCAGGAAGCAGCAGCAGTTCTTGGAAGCGGGAGCAAAGGGCATGGTACTCGCAGCTATTTAGAGGGCTAGCAGCAGGCGGTGGACCCCAGCACACACTCTCCTTGATACCTGAGGGAGCAGAAGGGCACAGGTCACAGGAGCTGGGCTACAAATTTAGAAGAAGGGGTGGGAGCAGAGGTGGGAGCAATCCCTTTGGGCTGGCGCACCGTCCACCATGTCTGCTTTTTCCATGTCCCCTTGGGTTCCAGTACTCTTCCCATTGGCAGCCCCTGGTTCAGGGCTCACAATTGTCACCTGCAGGGGAGAGGGGTGGTCAGACAGCCCACTCCCAGGGACAGTCTCTTTCCCACCCAGATTGCCACTAACCTGCTCACACTGCCCATAGAGATCCACAAGTGCATGGCAGGGCTGGGGCACATCTGGAACAGCCACCCCCTGGTCCACCCCATTGACATGGAGATGCAGCCCTCCAGAGCTGTCCAGCCGCAGTCCCAGGATGGTGCCTTCAGGACATGTGTCCAGATTTGGCCCAAACTTCTCACAGATCTAGGAGGAGAGACCTACTGTCTTCCAGAAGTCAGACTCCCACCACAGCAGCCATCCCCTACTTCACTGTGCTTCTGGTTGCCAGTTGCTGAGCTTTGCCCTCCATACTTACTCACCCTACTCCCACTTCAGTTACCTAGAACTCCCTCCGTTTCTCCCCACTGTAACATTCTCAATGGCAAGGACACAAGAGGAGACTACAAGCCTGAGGCCAACCAGGCCATGGCACTCACACCCTTGCCTGCCCACTATTATCTCCCTTTAGATCTGTAGTCCCCCTCCTCCAGGGCAAAGGGTCCCAACTTTCCCTTTTGGCCAGGCCTTCCTTACTCAGATGTCTGGCCTTCTCCCTTCTTTATGGCTTCCTTACTCACCTTAAGACCATTGTGGAAGACTCCATGGCCTCGCAGTAGCCAGGCTGCCCGTTTGAGGGCACAGGCAGAGGCTGGGAAGTTAAGCCTCTCAGGTGGGCAGGTGATGACTCCCAAGACAAGGGAAGATGTCCACTGTCTGTTCAGGAAGTCTATTCGCACCTAAGGGAGAAAAAAATCACTCCATAATCATGGCCTCCTGGGAAGAGCCAGGCTCCTTACCCTAGCTAGGCAGAGATTGTGGCCTAAAATGCTATCCTTTCTTTTTTCATTCTTTTTTTTTTTTTTTTAATGAAACAGACTCTCATTCTGTGGCCCAGACTAGAGTGCTATGCTGTTGCAACTCACAGCAACCTCAAACTGGGCTCAAGTGATTCTGTTGCCTGAGGCTCCAGAGTAGCTGGAACTATAGGCATATGCCACCATGACTGGCTAATTTTTCTATTTTTAGTAGAGATGGGGTCTCCTTCTTGCTCAAGCTGGTCTGGAACTCCTGAGCTCAAGCAGTCCATCCACCTCAGCCTCCCCAAGTGCTAGAATTCTAAGTGTGAGCCACCGCACCCACCAGATGTTGCCCTTTCTGATGCTTGGAAGGAAAAGAAGCTGCAAATTCAGTTGGTTCCTTCCCTTTTTGAGCCTTGATCTTGCTGTTGCCTCTGCAAGGATTCTGGTCCGTAGGGCCTTCCTTCACCTGGTTAACTCTGACACACACTTCAGTTTGCAGCAGAAAGGCCCCCTTCTCTAGAAAGCTCTCCCTGTTCCCATGTATAAGATCATCTTCCTAGGACTCCTCTAGCTCCTCCCTAGTGCTTCCCTCACCTGTCACCAAGTGGAGACTTACTGATAACTGATTTACAACTAATTTACATTACAGGGTGTGGACAAAAGTCCAGAAAGCTCAACCAAGCTGGCCTTCTTTTTCCTCCACCTGAAAAAGCCTTTCTCCGAGAGGGTTGTCTCTGGGCCCCTCTGGAACAAGAGCTGGGGCTAAGGAGGCAGAGCCCACCTGGACCAGCAGCTGGGGCACCAGGGGCTGGCTGATGACAACAATGCCTTGATTATAGCTGGCCACCCGTGTGGCTGTGCAGTTCCCATTGGACAAGAGAATATTCTTCCCATGGTTCTCCAAAAACTCGAGGGCTGTAGGCATAATGCCCACTTGATTCTGGCCCTGGTGTGGAGGAAGAGACTGAGCTGCATGGGTTGCCAATGCCAGGCCTGACCCACCCCACTGGGGTTTACACAGACTTTGAGCCTCTGCTGGACAATTAGGAAACTCAAAACAGGCCTGGCACCCAGTGGCCCACCAATTGCCCATCTGTGTGCATGGCAGGCTCTGCTGCAGCCTCTTACTCCCAGGCCACGCTCCTCGCCCTTGTCCTCCTCTTCGCCCTCACTGCCGGTGTCTGAGCTGGGGGAAGGAGGATGGGTGCCTTCAGGCTCTTCCAGCCTTGTGGAACTGACAATAGACACACTGCGTACTGGCCCGTAGAGATCCAACACAGCCCACACATTCTAGGGGCACATAAGACCCAGTAAGTCAGGGAACAACAAAAGACCTAAACCCCACTCCCAGAACCCAAGGAAGCTCTTAGGTCTACCTTGGCAATGCCAGTGGCCGCAGGCCCCATATCTTCTCCATCTACCAAGATGTGCATCGTGTCATCTGCCCCATGACGAACACCCACACGGCTCCCCACCTAAGACAAGGTGGGATAAGGACAGATGCTAAGCCCATCCCTCCCTGTGACTTCCACTTCCAACCCCTCCCCCGTCCCTGGAGCCAGCTGCTTCACCCCAAGCCGCTCTAGGTTCCGGCCATAGTTCATCCTCTGGAGCTGCCCATCACGCCTCACTTCACAGCTGGACACCATCCAAGTGGTCTTAGTTCGGAGCTCTGGCAGGGAGGGAGGCAGCCCTGGGCCACCGCCTGCTCCAGGCCCCATCTCTCCTGGTGCAAGTGTAGTCAGCCCCAGCCGGAGGGAGCCTGCCCACTTCTCATCCAGCTCTTCCACTTTCACCTGTGAGAGAGAAAATAGTAACTGGCCCTGTGCTGATGGGCTTGGCAGCCCCCTCTGTCACATCTCAACAGCCTACCTCAAAGACTTCCTCAGCTTTGAGCTCCTTGGTGCTGAAGACAAGGCCATGAGCATAGCCAGCTGCACGTACTGCCCTTGTGCCATCTTCCTCCAGGGTGACATTTCTGCCACAAGTATTATGGAATCGGTGAGCCACGCCAGTCACTGTGGAAAGATGGCACCAAAGGAAAGGGTAGAATTGGAGCAGCAGGCTTCAAACAGGACACAAAGCAAAGCTTTCAGACAAAAGTGATGTGGACATAAAGACAATATATGCCATTACTCCTCAGGGCCTCCTGAGATCTCTTTTCACCACAAGACACATTCCCAAACCTAGCATGCCCAACTTATAGTGTCCTGGCCCCTTGATGGCAGGAAGTGTCTAGGCTCTGTGTCCCAACCCCCTGGCTGGCTGCTTGCCACTGTAGGCTGTCCCCTCCCCGTGGCCTGCAGCTATATAGCCAGCCATCTTTTAATACCTTCCTTGACTTGGAAGCTATACCTTTCAGGCCCACATTGCCTGCCCTCCCTGATGTCACACCTGGGGAGTGCAGGGGAAATGACTTCTCAGTGGCAGTGTTGCTTGTCGCCAGGCTGTTGTCCATGGGGCCAGTGGCACTGGTGATGGACACTTGGACACACTGGCCGTAGAGATCGACTACTGCATACACCTCTGAGTATAAAGGAAGGGGTTAGAAACCCACAGCTCGGATGGCTTAGGCTGAGGGAGGCAGGGCGAAAGCCACAGAGTAGTCACCTTTACCCGGAGGCAAGCCTGAGCAAGCAGCGCCTTGGTCCTGGCCATTAATGAAGTAGTGCAGATCGCCCTTGGCAGTTCGCATCATGCCAATGCGTGCACCTGTGCCCAGTGCATCCAGGTCACACCCATAGTTGTTGCGCATCGTGTTACCATCTTGCATGATGGCTGTGCCACTGGGGTATGGAAGAGATGAGTCAGTCTCCCAGCTTCATCTTCACACTGGCCCCTACCCAGTCTCTACCTGTCAGAACCATCAGTGCTTTTGACTAGAGTCTTGATCTGGGCCTGAGACCCAGTCCTATCTCCTTTATCCTTGGGATCTCCCAAGGAAAAGTAGTAACTACCCTAAGAGGTAGAGGATTGAGCCTTTGCAGGGCTGGGTGTGGCTTTCCAGAATTGAAATGAGGAGGCAGCCAGATCCCTGAGGTCAGCCACTACCCATGGCCACCTGAGGCCCAAACCCTGTTTCCTTGATCCCAGCCAGCTCCACCCAATCCTGCCAAGCTGGCCCCCAAAGCAGGCAGCCCAACCTCAGCATCCATGTATCATAGTCAATGTCTGTCATAGTGTTGGGGAATTCCAGGTCTTCAGGCCGAATAGCAGTCACTCCTGGGGAGAGGCAGGGGTAGGTCAGAGCTGGCCCTCTAGACCACAGGCATCCTGCACCCTGCACCCTTCAACACATACATAGATGCCCCCTCACCAGCCTCAATGGAGCCTGACCAACGGTCCACCATCTTTTGAATGACAATTTCGAATAGTTCTCCATCCCGCAGGGCCCTGCAAGGGAGAGTGGTGACCAAAGAGGCTCTACTTAGGTGACTGAGGCTGGGTAATTATAAGGTGGGGACCTGAGAGTCCAGAGACTGACCGGTTAGAGATGACAATGGCGTCATTGAACTCGCTACGGCAGTTGTGGCGAAGTGCGGTGCGGCCCCCATTAGTGATGACTGCATTACTGCCGTGAAGCTGGTGGAAGCGCAGGTCTGAGCCCCCAGCCCCTGAGGAAGGGGAGCTTGGAGACACTTGGTTATTCCCTTCTGGGAGTGGTTCAGGAATTGGAGGTACCTCTGCAAGAGGGACACCACCCATTAGGTCTCAAGGGCCCCCCAAGGCTACCCTAAACCCCTGCCCCAGCCCAGCCCGGCCCTCACCCACGTCGTCCACAATGGTGGCCTGGGCCGCCTGGCCGTAGAGATCCACAACAGCATAGACACCCGGGGGCACATTCCAGGCAGCAGGGCCCTGAGTCATTCCATTGACAAAGAAATGGAGAGTTCCGTCCTCCCGTCGCACCACACCTACCGTGTCCCCTGCCTTGGAAGAAGGGGGGGCTGGAGTGAGGAGTCAGGCAGAGTTCCTGCCTGGGTTGGTCCTACATCAGCCCTGCCTTGCCTGCCTCCCCGACCACTACGAGCAGGCGCAGGTAGTACAGCCACTCTCCCACCTTGAGGCGGTCCAAGTTGTGCCCATATTCATCTAGGATGGTTGTCCCGTTGTGCATCACCCCATTCCCTGTCATCATCCAGGTCCCTAGGGGGGGAAGGAGTGGCAGAGGATGTGAGGGGAAAGGCAGGACTCCTCTCCTTCATATACAGGCCCCATGTTATTTCCCTAAGCCCAAAGACCATCTAGCTTATTCTTTGACAGCCAGCTTTCTTCCCTGAGCAGGAAAAGAAAACTGTGCAATTCTGGCTCAGTGCCTGTAGCACAGCAGTTACCACACCAGCCACATACACCAAGGCTGGCAGGTTGAAGCCTGGCCAGGGCCAGCTAAACAACAATGACAACTGCAACAAAAAAATAGCTGGTATTGTGGGGGGCACCTGTAGTACCAGCTACTTGGGAGGCTGAGACAAGAGAATTGCTTAAGTCCAAGAGTTTGAGGTTGCTGTGAGCTGTGACGCCACAGCACTCTACCAAAGGCAACATAGTAAGACTCTGTCTCAAAAA